AACCATCAATGGCTCTCTTGAGTTTCTAGAAGAGAGCGCCAACTCCTTGGCACTGGCCCTGGGGCCTTTCAAGAGCTGGCTCCTACCTATGCCATCCTGTAGTGAGGAGGCGACCAGACCTGCTTTTCATCCCGCCCAGCTCAGCACGGCTAGCTTACCACCAGAAATAACAACACACAAATTGTATTCATTTAAACACTGCCTGGCCCATTATATCTAGTCTTCTCTTGGCTAATTCTTACATATTTGTTTAAGCCATATCTAGTAATTTGTGTAGTATCACGAGTGGTGGCTTACCGGGAAATATTCTAGCCTACATGCATCTTGGGTCGAAGAATCGTGGTGTCTGACTCACTTCCCTTCTTCCCAGCATTCTGTTCTGTCTACTCCAACCACGTATGTTCTGACCTATCAGGCCGCCAAGCAGTTTCTTTATTAATTAACCAATGAAAGAAGACCCACCTACATCACCATACTCTTATGCCAACATCCCTCACCTGTGCTAGGCATTTCATGCCTCAAGACCCCAAAAAGAGGTTGTTCTTTCGATTTTCCCTCCCTTCCATTCATATGCCTCTAGTTCCTGGACAAATCACATTGCTGTGGCTCATTGATGGTGCATCCATTTCTCTTCATCAGTCCATGTGGACAGGGTTGCCAGACATGTTTTCATTTTACTAGGTATCCAGGGAATGGTGCAAAGGTACATTGAGAACGGGAAACCCTTCCAAGGATACACAATCTATCAGAAAAAAACATGCTCTCTTCATATCACTGTGATTTATGTTTCCATCTGAAAATGAAGCCACTGATTATAGGATAGACAGAAGTTTCTCCCCAGCTGGTCCTATAGCCATTCCAAAGAAATGGTCCCAAAGAAAAATTATAATGTTTGGCCTACTAGCTCATGTTTACTATTAACTATCTCTTACAAGTTAAATTATCTATGTTTAGCCACGTGATTTGGACCTTTTCTCAGTAAGGCATTGTCATCTTGCTTACTCTGCATCTGGCTGGTGATTGTATTTCTGCCTTTTCTCTTCCCAGAACTCTCCTAGTCTGGTAACCCTGTCTATATTTACTACTTGACTACTGGTCAGTCAGAATTTTATTAAACATATATGAGTGACAAATCTTTACTGTGTACAAGAGCATCATCCCACAGCATGGTAAAGTGTCTTCTCAGAGAGAGCCCCTTGGTTTGGTCTACAGAGCCATTCCTTGGATATGGGAGCTCACACTAAGAGTGTACCTCTGGAATAGAGTTTGGGATTACCATGTGGAAGAGTACCCAAATTTCCAAAGGTAGCAAAGGTGAGTTCATTCTCTGGAGAGTCTTAGGTGGGAGGGAGCCTGTGGGGTAGACAGGCTACCCAAGGTCTAGCCTACCCAGCGCAGGCTAGGTTACTGACTAATGATAAAGAGAGGCCTCTGAGCCAGGTGGTGGTGGTGCACACCTTTAATCCTAGAACTCGGGAAGCAGAGACAGGTGGATCTCTAAGTTTGAGGCCAGCCTGGACTACAGAGCAAATTTTAGGACAGCCAGGGCTAAACAGAGAAGCTCTGTCTTGAAAAACAAACAAACAAATAAATAATACAGAGGGAATGAGAGTGAGCTCTGAGTGGTCAATACCACGGTGAAGAAGTTGAACTGGATGTCAAATCTGAAGTATGTAAAGTGGATACCAAACAATTCCAGGACAGCAGACAGACCTAGCTCGTTCTCTGTGGCTGTGAAAAACACCATGAGACAAAATGACTTAGGGGAGTATCAGCTTACAGGTTACAGTCCCTCAGAGGAAAGTCAAGTCAGGAATTCAGGGCAGCACTTGAACCAGAGTGGAACAATGCTGCTACGAGCCAGTTCTCAGGCTCCCAATGGGCCTGGCCAGAATGGGCCAAGCATACGGAGACTATTCTAAGAAACACGGGAAGACCCATGGGTGCATCTATGGTGAGCGAGAGCCAATGCCATGGAGCCTCCAGGGTCGAAGAAGAGCTTCTGGTGGGCACTGTCACTTAACAACACATTCCATTTTCTGCCACCCATGATCCAGCGTTTGGTGGACTCAGAAGTGCAAATTTGCTCTTTTGGGGCTGTGCCTGTTGCTTTCCATATTGTTTAAGTCACTATAGTAACATTTCTGGATGTGGGGTCTAAAGAGTCACCTCTGAACATATATATATATGGTTTTTATCAAGACAGGTTTCTCTGTAGCTTTGGGGCCTGTGCAGGAATTCACTCTGTAGACCAGGCTGGCCTTGAACTCACAAAGATTCACCTGCCTCTGCCTCCAAGTACCTGTGCCACCACCCACTAGCAACCTCTACATTTTTAATGAAATTTTTAACTGGAAAAAATTTTATATGACATATATTGATCATGTTTTGTTTCTAAATTCCTCGCATATCCTTCCCACTTCATTACCTATCCTGTTTCATGCTCTTTTTCTCTTCCAAAAAACAAAACAAAAAATCCCAAGAATGAAAAGCAAGGAACACACACATTAAAAAAAGGAGCAGCTGAGGAGAGGGCTTAGTGCATAAGAGCATTGGCTGCTCTTCCAGAGGTCCTGAGTTCAATTCCCAGCAACCACGTGGTGGCTCACAACCATCTGTAATGAGATCTGGCGCCCTCCTCTGGTGTGAGGGCATACATGGAGGCAGAATGTTGTATATATACTAAATAATAACTAAATAAATACCCACAAAAACAAAAATAACAGCAAGCAAAAGACTAATAAGAAAAAGGAAATGTGAGAACACAGAAAACTGAAACAAAAAGCCCACAAAACTCCTTCCCAGTTCCCTTGTGCTGGCCAGCTGCTCCTGGGCATGGGACCTGCCCTGAAGTGCAGTTGATAGACACAGTGACAGTCCATTAGAGAAAAGCCATGTCCCCTTTGCCAGCAGGAAATCTCCTGCAGCTAGTGTCTTCCTTAGAGAGCTAATTGGTTAGGGGAGGAAGCTTGTGTCCTTCCTCTTCTGACCCTATGTAAGTCTCAGGCTTGCTCCACAGTCTGAGCTCACGTGAGCATCTCTCCTATTGTGTCTGAAAGGCGTGGATTCCTTGAAAACATCTGTACCCTCTGGCTCTTATAATAATTCCACCTCCTTTCAGAAAACTCTAGGCTGTGTCAAGCTGACTGACTAGGAGGGTCGCTTTTCCTTTGCTGGGATGAAATGTCATGAAGGAAGAAGCTCAAGGGACACAGGGTTTATTTGAGCTCAGAGTTTTAGAGTTTGAGGTCACAGTTTATCAGGGTGGTGACCTTGCAGATATTACAGCCACAGTCAAGAAGCAGAAAGGGACAAATACACACTGGCTGCTTCTCCGCTAAACTTTTTGCATGCAGTTCAGGACCCAGCACAAGGAATGGGTACCACATACAGCAGGGAGAGTTCCCACGGCAATGCACCTGATCGAGATCCTCTCCTGCAGACATGATCCCCAGCTGATTCTAGATTGTGTCAAGTTGACAATTAACACAAAATGTCCCAAGGACTTTTTCTTGGGGTGGTGGAGGTCAGAGGTCAGCTTCCCTGAAGCTCTTAGAGGACATCTCTCAGGATAAAGCCCATGGTGGGTGACCTTTAACGCCATACTTATTTGGAATACCGAGGGGGAAGAAGTGAGACTGGCCTAAGCGATGAGGGACATTCTTGGTAATCCCTCACATTCCGTCCAGACATTGATCGGTTCCGACCTCGGCCTGGCATTGAGCTGCTGGCTGGACTAGAGGTTATGATTGATACCCTTGTTCTTGCTCTGAAATACAGAGAGATTGCCCACACTACACACACTCCATCCAGAGAATTATTTGCTGTCCCTGAGGATTTAGCCAAAGATCCTGAAAAACTTTGGTTGCCTATCTAACCACCACCCCATACCTGTCTAGGCTGCATCTTCTGGGTTGTCGTGACAACTTTGACCTAACCATCTCAACAACAACATGGTATTTTATTGGATGAATCACAACTTAACTCCTCCTATACAAGCGGCTATTTTTAGCTCCTGAGGGCTGGCCTTCGAAAAGGACAGATTCTCCCCACAAGCCAGACTAGGCCTAGAATTTAAGACTTTGAATCCATGTCCCTCAACCCAGGCAGTAAAGTCCAGTCCACAATGTTCTGGGGAACCTGGCCCTCAGGGATCTGGACTGGGTTCTTCCCCATTGCTGGGATCCTTCAAGTCGGGGTCGAAGAACCCTCTTGCTTCTGATTTTAGCAGCAGGGCTTTGAGAATGGTATTCTTTGCCACTTCGTCGACCACGTTGCTGGGTTCTTCTAAGTCTGTGTCAGAGGACCCGCTTGCTTCTGATTTTAGCTGCAGGGCATTGAGAATGGTATTCTTTACCACATTGTCAACCCAGATGTCAGACATGGACTCCTCAGATAGCATCATTTCAGTGATGTCCTGGCTTTTCCTGTTGGAGTCAATAGACTCTCTGATGATGCTGAGAAAAACCACGAGACATTTTCAATCGTAACCTCTTCTGGGAGGGATGGGCTTTCTCATTCATCTAGGTCCCTGGCTAAGCCTGTTCTTGGATTTCAGGATCAGGCTGACTCCATCTCCTGACCCAACTAGATCCCTTTCTTTCCCGGAATTTTGGACCTTTTCTCAGTGTTTCTGTCACCAGCTTTCACTGAATGCCTGCCACATGCTGGATCTTTAACAATGTGGGTTTAATCTTTTCATACACCCTTCAGGAGAAAAGGTCCTAACACTGAAAGAATTCATGTCACCTTAGTTCCCTTGTCTCCAAGGATAATACCCCAGTCTAGACAGGCATATGGGGCAGGGCAAAGGGAGGTTCTATGGGCAAGGAAAGCCATAAAGAGGGGGAGAACTGGCAGGACCTAAGCTGGATCCAGGCCAGTGATCATATCCAGAAGACCTGGGGAGACGGCTTTGAACAGGGAGATCTGTCGTTGGGATGGACAATATCTGGCATACTCTCAATTCCCAGCACTTGTGACAAGCAGACCCTATTCATCTACCTTGAATCGTATTCCATGCTATCACGGAAAGGCTGGTTTCCTGTTTCTGGCACCAAGGAGGATAAACACAAGGCCAAAACGCAAGAGAGACAGCAGAAGAAAACAGGCAGCTGTGTTTTGATATGGTTGTAGACAGCCAGAGCTGTGACGCCTCCAGCTGAGACGGCTATAGCCACCATACCCAGACCTGTAGACCTGAAAGCAGAGTTGAGAACTGGTTTAGAAGACATCAGAGGCTCAGAGGCTGGGTACAGTGAAAGGGAGAAGCTACCTAAAGTCATACCCTCTGCTCTTTACCCCGTTCCATCCAAGTGTGTGACCTGGAAGAGCCTAGTTCTTTATTGACATAAGAGGGGTAGTTATTTCTCCTGGGCTGCCTTCTTGGATATCCAGAGTCAAAGAGTTATTAATCATGTACACATCATAATGGTGTATAATCATGTGAGGAAAGGATACAGCCCTGGGGTCAGTAAGATGGGGCTTCTATCACCAGGAACTCCGTGGTAGAAGAGGCAGAACCTCAGGGTAACCCAAACACATTACAAGCATCTGGTGTGGGCTGGTTAGTTTTGTCAACTTGGCACAGTTAGAGTCATTTGGGAAGAGAGAGTCTCAGTTGAGAAAATGTCCCCATCAGATTGGTCTATGGGCAAGTCTGGGGGCATTTCCTTGACTGATGATTTGATGTGGGAGGTACCAGCTCACTGTGAGCTGTGCCATCCCTGGGAAAGGTGGTCCTGGGGTGTATAAGAAAGCAAATGAAAATCCATGAGGAACGAGCACGGAAGCCGCACTCCACCATGGCTTTAGATTTAGTTCCTGTCCCCAGGATCCTCTCCTGAATTCCCCATGAAGGTGTGCTGTGAGGGGAAGCAAAACCTCTCTTCCCCAGATGCTTTTGGTCTCAGCATCCTCCACAGCAATAGAAAGAACTAAGGACCAGGTGCCAGGCAGGGTCTAGAGTCAGACCCCACGTTATGGTCATTATTCCTTGTCAATCAGACAGAATCTAGAATCACCTGGGACACTGACCTCTGAGCATGATTGCAGGGGATCAGGTTACCTGGACTGGGAAGCCTTCCCGACCATGGGCGGCACCATTCCCTTGGCAGGGATCCTGGACTATGCAAGTGGGGAAAGAGAGCAAGCAGTGGCAGAGCATGCATGTAAGCATCGCTGCTTCCTGACTGTGCTGTCATGGAGTCAGGTGCTTCGAGCCCCTTCTGCCCTGCCTGCCCCACCATAAATGATCTGTTTCCTTGAACCGAGAGCCACGATACACTCCCCTCTCTCTAAGTTACTTTTGCCACGGTCATTGGATCACAGTGACATATAAAGAAACTAAGACATCATCCCTTACAAATGCCAGCTCTGCTACCTGCTGGGCAGGACTGACAACAGGGACCTTACCTGTCTTTGGCTTTGTCAACTGGAAGAAGGTCGATGAAGGACAGCATTTGGGTTTTGTTTTCTGACAAGAGATAGGTGAGCCAACCCATGCAAACCGTGTTTAACACAGCAAATGTTTTTTGACAAATACTCAGGCTTGGCACTGTCCCATCCCCCTCCTTCCACTCAGCCCACCACACTCCATACCTGAGAGCAGTGGGGAGGAGCTCACAGGTGTAGATGAAGAACCCAGAGACACTGGCTACAATGTTAAACAGTCCAAGCACAAGCATCAAGGTTATCGTCGACTTTAGCTCTGGGTAAAGACAGCACGGCCCTGAGTCATGGGCCAACCTACATTTGGGGCCTTCCAGCCTTCTCTCAGTCCCTTACCAAAGGCAACTGAATGGCCCACCCCTACTACTTAGTCACCTAGCCAGCAGACTCAGACATTCAGCCAGAGGAAGTGTTGATCTGCATAGGCCCAGTCATTCCTGAAGTTACTATCCTGGCAGAGTTGAATAGGGCTAGGGTAGGCCAAACACTATTTGGGGGAGGTAGAGTTTCTCACTGAACCTGGAACTTGCTGATTCAGTGAGATTAGGTGGGCAGCAAACCTGAGACTCTCCTGTCTCTTTCTCTCCGAGGACCGGACAATGACATGTACTGTCCTGAATGCAGGGTAACCAAAGTCAACTCTTTATGTCTCTGCAGCAAGCACTTCAAAAACTGAGCCATGCCTCCAACCCTCAGACTTCTATCTCCAGAATCCTATGCCTAGTTTCTTGCCCACACGTGAGATCAGTAAATCTGCCAGCTAGATTCAGTGCTCTGTGTAACAGCAGCAACAATGTCAATACCAATAAACACCAGGATATGTGAACCTAAGAAAGTTTCATTTTTGTTTTGTAGCTAATCAATATCTGATAATGTCAGGGGGATGCCGAGAGTTTCTCTGAGAGAAAGAAAGGGGCTCCTTCTGGAAGCATGCATTGCAGCCCCCTAGTAGGCCTTGGCCATTGATGGGGCACCATAGCTCTGTGCACTCTGGCCCCACAGACTGACCCAGGTTCAAGGCCCAGGGATCTTTGAGTTGCTGGCTATAACACCAGACACCAGGAGCCAGGCAACGAGCCCCTGGCAAAGCCCTCTGAGCAAGAATATTGGCACTGGTCCAGTATCCCACCATCCCGATGTTCCATGAGTAGATTATCCTAGACAGCATAGGTAGCCGGGAATGCTTGCCAATCAAAGGCTGCATATGAGAGGCACGGCCTGGGGCGTGAGTTCAAAGAAGACTCTGCTACCATCTACTCTCATTGACCTACTAGATCTGCTTCTGGTGTGGACTGGAATAGAGTCCCGGAGACTGCCTGCCCTCACATACAAGGATAACCACTTTGGGGATAGCCTGAGTTCCTCTCTCAGGACTCTGAATGTGGATAATGCTGTCTTGGGGGCTGGGGTTTCCTTGAGGGGTGGGAAGAATGATACATGCAGGAAGCCACCTGCCGTGTGCTTTCAAGCCAGGCAAGATAAGAGACACTAGGAAGCCCCAGAAGAGAACAGACGGGAGGCAGCCTTCCTGGCAGGTTGTACCTTGAGTAAGGAAAAGGAGGAAGAAACACGAGATGGTAGCCAGAATGAGGTTCGCGAAGAGGGAACACTTTCTCCCCAAAATCTCCAGTAGAACGAGGCAATACAGCCGGGCTGGCACCTCCAGAATGCCTGGGATTATTTGTATGAGGAAGGTCTCTATCCCACAATCCTTCAACTTGAGGTTCAGTGTGAAATAGATGTAACTGATGGAAAACCTGAAACAGAACAACAAAAAAAGCAAGGGAGAGAGAAAGGAGGAGTAGGATGGAGAGGTGGGAGGAACAGCAAGAGGGAAAGGGAAGAGAAAGGAGAAGGAAGTGGAGGGAAGAGAAAGGGGAAGAGGAAGAGAGGAGAAGAGGGAGGATTGAGTGTAGGAGGAATGGAACAGAGGCAGAGAGAAGATGTGTGTGGTAGGAATGACAGAGACAGGCCTGGCCCTCGGCCTGACCAACCTCCATGCCATTCATGAGTTTGAAGCCAGCCCCAGCAACTCACCACACACAGGCCATGGTCAAGACCACCTTGAAAAGGTGCTGATTGGTGTAGAAGTCCAGGATCGAGACCTTCTTAACCTTCTTTGCCGGCGGCTGCAGCTACAAAACAACAAGACCAGTCAATGGCAGACAGGACCCGAGCTTGCTCTCTGCCCAAAATCACCAGGCAAGGCCTGCCCCTTCCCCAGTGCTGGCCACTCTCTGGCCTTGGCAGGCAGGGCTCAGTTTTGTTGCCATCATTCTGAAGCAGTAGACTAAGATCCCATGAGAGGATGAGGAAAGAGGCCTTCCCACAGTCTGCAGGCCTGGCCTCACTCCTGGCTCAAGGCTTCTTACCTCATTCAGTAGATTTAAAGGGATGGTCTTCTTGTTCACCTCAGCTGCGTAACACAGAACCTTTTTGGCCTCGTCCACCTTCCCTTTGACCATCAGCCACCGTGGGGATTCTCGGACAACCCTGTGTGACCACCTCTCTCTTACTTCACAATTCCAGGATGCCCCAACTCCAGCTGAGATGCCTCAGCTGTGGCCATCTGTATCAGCATGTGACCAAGGAACCTTTAGGTACCACCAACCTCAAGATGCCTTCTGCTCCTTGGTGGAAGCCAAACCTTCTTTCAAGCCTCCACAAACCCCACTGCTTAGTGATAATAGTCAGTCTCTTGATCCCTTTGCCCTGTGGTCTCTTTAACTACCCCAATCACCTCCCAGTTCTGCTTTCCGGCCCCAGGAGTACTGATACCTCTGTCTTCTGCAGATACATGCAACACTTACATACAATTTTTTTTTTTTTTTAGAAAGCAGCAGAGATGACTCAGAGTGGAACTTCCACGGAAGAAATCTTGAGCTGGCCATCTTGCTCCATGTGGTATGTGCCGGTATTCCTTCCTTGATGACTATGGTTTACCACATGCACACAGAGATACCTCCCACAAGGCTAGCAGACTAGAAAATAGGTTGTGATCCCTGACCATGGCAGTATGGACCAGAGCTGTCGGAACACTGCAGAGGCAGTTGCATGGCCGTTGCTGTGGGTCACAGGACAGGCAACTGAAGCTAAGCTGACTGCCCAAAGGGAACCTGTCCACAGCAAACAGAGAAGCTGCAAAGGGCAGACAATGACTATGATTTGACAGGAAAACTAGACAAGAGGGAAGACAGAGGGAAATGCTGGCTTGGCATTTTGAATATACCTTGACTTCAAAACTGAAGTCTAAAGGTATGTTACTTTGGAGAAGAGGATTTACTTTTGTTTCCACAGGAAATGAGAGGCTGTGGATTCATTCTGAGTTAAGAAAAATCAGGTTTGATCAAGGAAGACCATCTAAGAAATCCCTGGTAAGAACAGATGGCCCAGATGTCTGTCTGAGTTCTGCATCCAGAACAGATTCAAGACTGCTGCCTGAGATGATCAAGCCTCACAGGATACTCCAGTCATGACTTGATGATATTTCTCAATTTTCTTTAGGTCCCCATAAGATTATCAGAGCCCCCAACCAGCAGGAAGTAGCTTGGAAAACTATGCCCACATTCCCCCCAAAAATGGACTATGTATATTTTCCTTTGTTTAGAATGTTGGTTGCAAGTTGTTATGGATAATGGTCAGGAGAAAAGTTAAACAAAGGATATTAGATTCAGAGTTCTTTTTCCTTAAAAAAGTGGGGGGGGGGGGTTGCTGTGGGACAATGGTTTGTAACCTGTCAAGTGTATGTTAATAAAGTGCTGATTGGCCAGTAACCAGGCAGGAAGTATAGGCAGAACAACCAGATAGGAAGTAGAGCTGGGTCAATTAATACAGGAAAATTCTGGGAAGAAGGAAGCAGATTCTGCAGTCATGACCCAGTCACTGAAGAAGTAAGATGTGACTGCCTCGCTGAATAAGGTACCACCAATGTGGCTAGCATAGACAAGAATAATGGGATAATATAAGTTATAAGAGCTAATAAGTCTGAACCTCTATGCCAATCAGTTTTATAATTAATGTAGACTTCAGTGTATTTCTTTGGGTTGGGACAGAAACACCAGTCAACACACAGTCACCTAGGAGATAGGCCTCTGGGCATGTCTGTAAAGGAATTTCTATATCAGGTTAGTTGAGCTGGTGATAGCCACCCTAAATGGGGGCAGCATCCCATGGCCATGTTCCCAGACTGAATAAAAAAGAGAGAGTGAGCTGAAGATCAGCTTCTCCTTCCTCCCTCTTCCACTCTCCTCTCTGACTCTACCTACTGACTTGGATACAATATGCCAACTGCCTTAGCTCCTGCCATGATGAATTGTAGCCTGTAACTGTCAATCAAAAATAAACCTACATCCCTTCCTAAGGTTGCTTTTGGCAGGGACTTCATCATAGGAATGTGAATTGTAATTAATATATCCTTATTGTTGCAGTCATTTCTTCCAAATTGAAACACTCTCTTCTGGAGGAGGAGAAGGAGGAGGAAGAGGAGGAGGAGGAGGAGGAGGAGTAGGAGGAGATACGCCTCAGGAAGCTTAGAAAGTTACAAGACTCATCCAAAGGTTATAAAGGCAGTTAGATCACACAGCGTGATTCAATCTCAGGACCTTTGCCCCAAAGGCAGCAACATTCCTTACTTTTCTCATTTCTATGATAAAATGTCCAGCTAAAGCAACTTAAGGAAGAAAGTGTCAGAGTTCAAGGGTCCACCATGGTGGGGAAGTCACAATGGCAGGAACCTGAGGCAACTGCTCATGTCACATCTGAAGTCAGAAGTGGAACAATTGATGCTTCTAAGCTTTCCTTTTTATACAATCCAGGATCCCAGCTCAGAGGATGATGCTACCCACAGTGGGCTGATCCTACCATCTTGACTAATCAAGATAATCCCTCAGAGGCATGTCTCCCAGATGATTTGAGATCTCATCACCATAGAAGCCCACAAAGCCATTGTTGTACAGTGCATTTATAGGAATATGGTAGACTGTGCTAGCTCTAGAGGACCCTTGACACACGTTCTCACAGGTAGGGCTGCTCCATTTCCTTGGTAGTTCATGCTAAAAGTACAGAGGGGGCTGAAGACATTAAGAACCTGGAGACTGAGGGGAAATCCTCCAAACAGTGATAGGAAGGAAGAAAAGGGAAAGAATGTAATTATGTTATAATCTCAAGAAAAATTTTTCCTTTTTTTGTTTGGTTTTGGTTTTTTGAGACAGGGTTTGGTGCAGAAGAATTGTCTGTATTCTGTCAATTATGTTTTAAATAAACGCTGATTGGCCAGGCAGGAAGTTATAGGCAGGAAAACAAGACAGGAAGTAGAGGTGATGCAATGAGAACAGGAGAATTCTGCGAAGGAGGAAGATGATTTCTCCCAGTCCTGCGCAGAAATCCGAGGAAGCAGGATGTGTCCTGTCTGAAAAGGGTAGCGAGCCATATGGCTAAAATAGATCAGAATAATGGGTTAATGTAAGTCTTAAGAGCTAATAAGAAGCCTGAGCTAATGGGCCAATTTGTTTTATAACTTCTGGAGATCTCTGTGTGATTTTCTTTGGGGCTTTCCAGCTATGGGGTATCAGGCAGGACAGAAACCCCAACAAGCAGGCCCCTTCTTGTTACAAGGGTTACTCTGTGTAACAGTCCTAGCTTTCCTGGAATTAGCTCTTATAGACCAGGCTGACTTTGAACTCACAGAGATCCACCTGCCTCTGCCTCCTAGGTGCTGAGATTAAATGTGTGTGCCACCATTCCCCGGTAATAAAACTATTTTTTAAAAGGCAAGTGCTCCAGTCTCCAGATTTGTTGGAGAGTGTTACAGCTAGAATCAGTCCTGACTTGGCTTAGGGAATCCTTGGAGGAAAACCACCTAACAGAGTGGGTCCCACAGTGTGGCCTGTGAGTTAGAATCACTGTTGGAAACATTAGGCATGTAGATTAATAGACTCCACTGAGGCCTGCTGTTACAGACAGTAGGAGTAAGGTTCAGCTGTCAGTCCGACACTGGGGGTGGGGCCCTTGGACTGACTGTGGACTCTGGGGGTGGGGTCCAGTTGCTGCTCAGACACTGGGGGTGGGGTCCACCTTCTGGTCTGACACTGGGGGTGGGGTCCAGTTGCTGTTATTTTCAGGGCAGTAATGAAGCCTGAGGGTCTTCTATATGCTAGGCAAGCTCTCTACTACTGAGGTACATCCTTATTTTTTTTTTTTTGGTTTTTTGAGACAGGGTTTCTCTGTGGTTTTGGAGCCTGTCCTGGAACTAGCTCTTGTAGACCAGGCTGGTCTCGAACTCACAGAGATCCGCCTGCCTCTGCCTTCCAAGTGCTGGGATTAAAGGCGTGCACCACCACCGCCCGGCTACATCCTTATTCTTAGTTATCAAAGTGACATTTACTATTATAAGGAACAGTGGCTGAAAAGAGATGGAACCTTGCCAACATATGTCCGGTATTGAGGAATGATTAGCTAAAAGAACATGTCTGAAGGCAGGGGCTGAAGAAAATTATGCCCCAGAGAATTCAGCCCACTGAAGACAACATCAGCTCTAAGCAAGCACAGCAGCCAGAAGAAAGGCTAAAAGACCTCAGGAGGTAATTCTGGGAAAGAATCTGGAGGCAACAGAAAGAGAGAGGAGAAACTAGGAACTTGTCATCCCAAACTTACTGGCATTATTTAGTTTTTAATAATATTTACCTATTATATTAGTAACCCTTGTATGGAGGTTGTATGTAGTGGGTGTATATGTGTTTATGTGTGTGGCAATGTATGTGTATGTGTGCATTCATGTGGAAGCCAGAAGTCAACATTAGGTGTCACTTCTCAAGAACCAACCTGTTGACAGAAGCCACTCGTTCATTCCTGGGAGGCTGCCTGGACCATGAAATAATCACTCAGAAATTATATTATTTGCAATACTGTTTGGCCAATAGCTTAAGCATATTGTTAGAGAGTTCTTACAGTATTTTAATTGATACAGTTTCTGGGTGGTTGTTTTGGGTGTAAGCTAGCCAGGTGGCAGGGACAAACAAGCAGCCTCTCCTTACAACACTGTATTAATAACATTTTAAAAAAATCCTTGAGAGTTTTAAATCTTTTGACCCTTAAGATCAAGATGTCCCAAATACATGAGAAACACATGCTACCTGGCACGAGCTACCACCCACACTCACTGATATCTGGAGGACTGTCAAGGTTAGTCCCTATCTTGTGCAGGACTGGAAAGGTCCCAAGCCACTTACTTGTCCCCTGTAGTGACCCATTGCCTCCTTTCTCATACTTACCCTGTGTATGGTGCAGCAGGTATAGTCAAAGGCTCTGAAGCCAGGCAGGCTGGGGTCACATCCCAGGTCCAAATGCCTTAACCATTTCTTATGTACCTTACCTCCACCCTCTCCTGATGCCCATCAGAGCTGTGGGATAATGCTCTTGCACACTGTAAAGATTTGTCACTTGTATTGGTTTAATAAAATACTGATTGGCCTGTATCCACACAAGAAGTATAGGTGGGGCGACCAGACTAGGAGAATTCTGGGAAGAGGAACACCAGAGAGACAGTCACCAGCCAACCAGCCAGATGCAGAGGAAGCAAGATGAGAATGTTGTACTAAGAAAAGGTACCAAACCATGTGGCAAAACATAGGCAAGAATTATAGGTTAATTTAAGTTGTAAAACTAGCTAGTAATAAACCTGAGCTAACAGGCCAAACAGTTTATAATTTATATAAGCCTCCGTGTGTTTCTGTAGAACTGAATGGCTGAGGGACCAGGTGGGATGGAAACTTCCATCTACACATTAGAGTTGTTCATTTCTTGTCTCATAGTTCCTTCTCAGACTTGACTCCCCTCTCTTCAGACAGCCAGCACATTGCTGTCCCCCCATCCTTGTTTTTCCACACTCTGTAACATGAGCAGTACCGTCACAGCCCCAACTTAGATTGCTGTCTGTGGTCCCACATCTAAAAACCGCAAACACCTTGACCTAGCCTCAGCTGAACACAAGAACCTCTTTCCCTTTTCCCCTGAAGGGTCATTTCTTGGGGGACACCATTTACTCAATTTCAACTCATGGGTCATGCTTCGGCACTCCTCCAGTGAAGTCAACTCTAGAAGGTGACCATGGCCATCCCAAGCTTTCGGTCTCACCGCTTTAACCTTGACCCTTGCCTGTCTTTGGATCTCTGTCACTCCCACTGTCTGACTACCTCTTAGGTTCTTCTCTGAGGGTGGTGAACGGCTTCGGCTCCTTCTAAGGCCATGCATCTCCCACCCACTTCCATGTTCCCCATCCACTTCCACCTATGAGAATCATCCCCCAGTATGCGCTCTACTGTTCTGCTCACCAGATATTGGAGATGATGGGAAACAAGGGCGCGCCAGCCAGTAAGAACACGAGCCTCCAGTGGAAAATCTTGGTGGCAACTCTTGACAGGAGAATGATCCCTAAGGCCAGGAAGCAGTGCTGCAGGATGATCGCATGGGTCCGGTGCTCACCCACCAGCCACTCCATGACTGTGCAGAGCACATGAGAACAAAACTGTGGTCAGTTTGCAGTCCCCAGGTTGGCCATCCATACAGCTGGCTGGCATGCCCACCCTTCCCTTGACATGAATTCAGAGTAGACAGTGTCTTCTGCCTGTTCCAGATCTTTCTCAGAGATAGACTGTCTGTATCTCCCACCACACACCCCAAGTCTTGATGAACCTCCTCAGACCCATACACGCCCTTCCATTTCTTCTGCTCCCAACCACTCCCTCTAAAACTTCTGCCTAACTTGTTCAGGGACTCTCATGAGGTCTGACATGGGCTGAGACCAGGAACCACCTGTCTTGGAGTGCTTTGCTGCTTTGACCTCTTTGGCCTGAGGCTCTGTAGAGGGGTAGTTCCCTTTGGCTGTGTGCAGACAGATTCTCCATGTGAAGAAGAGTCAGAGAGCCCCAGGAAAATGACAGAATACGTTTGGATATAGGTATGGCTGTATATGCATTTAGGTATTAGCATGACACAGCTCCTGGGGAAGAAGCCCCAGCTCCTTCCTGCTGTGTGGCCCTGAACAAGTTGGCTAACTCTGTGAGGCTCAGGATGAAAGAAGCAAAGCAATAGAGGGCTTAGCAGCTCCCTTGATTCTCGAGGTGCAGGGTACACAAGTAGCAGGAGGGGGAACATTTGGGGTACAGGAGAATACTGTGGGGATGAGGGTTGGGGGCACTCCCTTCTGACTCCCTCACACTACTGGGAAGCCAAGAGGGGAGCCTCTTCTTCCTTCCCCACTAGGTTTTAGTCTGTCCATCCCAGGTAGATCTGCCCCCTGCTACCTCTTGAATTGAACCTATCTCGATCCCACCTTGCCCCTTGTGAGTCAGTCACCTAAAGACGAACTGCTGATGACGTAGCCCAGAGATGCCTGGGCTGAAGTGAAGCGGAAGAACAGATACTGGTTAAAACTTTTCACAAAGGCTATTCCGAATCCGAAGAAGAGGAAGCCTGCCAGTGACATCAGGAAGACGGGATAGCGGCCTATCCTGTGGGTATGAGGAGGAGATGCCACCAAGGGTCACACTTCCTGGCCAGCCTCGGTGGTGCACCTGGGCCAGGCTTTGGGTTACCTAGGGCTTTGGAGCATCCCTCCACTTGCTTTCCCCAGCTTGAGATTCATTCAGAGTTTGAGCGTTATGCCATCTCCTGAGAAAGAGGCAGGGTGTCCTAGGGATCAGTGGGAACCCCAGGACACTTACTTGTCACATAAGAACCCGAAGAACAGAGACCCTGTCAAGACGCCCGCCATAAACACAGTCTGCATGTTCTCTTTGTTTGGTTCATTGCCACACACCAGGTCAAACTGCAGGTGAGACAATGACATTGTTCAAGCCTCCACACAGACCTAGCCCTTCGGGAAAAGAGACTGAGATTGACCCCAAGGGGAACCCTAAGGTCAGTGATTCTCAGCTTTCCTAAGACTGCGCCCCTTTAATACAGTTCCTCATGCTGTGGTGACCCCAACCATAAAATAATTTTGTTGTCACTTCATAACTGATTTTGCTACTGTTATTAGTCATGGTGTAAATAACTGATTTGCAGTATATCTGAAATGAGACCCCTATAAAGGGTTGTTTGACCTCCAAAGGTGTTGCAACCCATAGGTTGACAACCGCTGCCTCGAGCAGATGACTGACATTCAGGGAAAGGGACAGGTAGTTCTATGTAAAGTGTCTTTTAACATAGACAGTTAGTTCTATGTAAAGTCTCTGTTATCCCTGGACTCAGTCTGTCCAGCACCTGGTAGATCCTGGATCTAAACCAGGAGAGAGGAAGCAAAGACATTGGGCCAGAAAGGACATTGCTGGGGACTTATTAAGCACAGGCACGAATATTGGTCCTGGGCTCCAACTTAGAGCTTCCCATGGACTAAAAAGACCCGGATTTCAACTCAGGGTATGAAGTCCTGTGAGAAATGCCCAACACAAGTTTTTTCTTTTCTATCTGTAGCTTCTGTGCATTCTGCTTGGTTGCCTCTTGACCCGTAACCCTTGCCCTGTGCCTCTACGGCCTCAACCCAGGCTTAGATCCAAGGTCTGCCAGATGTTGGAGAGAATACAGGGGTAACAGAGGAACACACCCTACACACAGCTACCTATGCCCCATCTAAGGGCCCTCCATCTAAGGGTCTCTCCTTGACCAGAAGACAAGAGCCACAACACAATAAGCAATTCTCTGGGCAGGTGGCAAGCCTGTCTCTACACCAAAATGCACTCTAGCTTCCTGCCTAAGACAGGGAGGGCACAGGGCTGGGAAACAAGAACCCCAGGTTCCTTTTCTGGTGCACCCCACAGATTGTACTCAGGCCAATTGCCCCCTGTCTCTGTCTCCTTTTCTGGGTAGCCATAGTCAACACAACAGAAGACAAGCATACCTCATTGATCAGGGAGCGCTTCTCAGCATAAGGGTAGATCCATCCATATCTGCATGTTTCTGTGTAATTGAGGCCAAAATGGATGATGGAATCGAGATCCCATGACACTGGTATATACATGAGGCAGGTCTGGAAACTGCCATCGGGTGCTCGGGGCAGGGTCAGGTTCATCTGCTCAGCCACTGAGAGGTTGGGACCTACTTTCAGGATCCAGCTGGTGTTACAGTAGGGTTTCTGGGCGGTGAGAACGAAGCTATCTGAGAACATGAAGAAGGACAGCAGCCCATAGGGGATCAAGGTGAGGGCCACCAGCCTCCACTGGAATGTGCCGAACTCCCCCACAGCATCCAGAACACTGGCCAGCTTGTCATCCTTCTTGAGCTCTATGGCCTTCAATTTGCGTAACAACATCTCCAAGGACCAGGAATGGGAGGGAATGGAAGTCTCATTCCAGTGTGTGCTCCTGGAATCATGTTGTTCCATCTGTTCAAGAAAGGCTGAAGTTCAGTCCCCTGTCACCATTTTCCATCATCAGATCCCAGGATGGGAGCCAAGGGACCGAAAACACCCTCTGCTTGGATCAGTGAGTACGAGGTACCTTCCTTGCCTTCCAAAGTCTCTTAGTTAGAATAATCCATTCCTCTTGGCTCAACCATTCAATTTACAGTGCAATGGATATTTTGGATGTTTTAGAGAACATCCCTGTAAATGCCAGGAACTCTCTGACAGCTCCCTCACCAGGAGCTACTCATACACCTGAGGAACTCTCTGACTGACAGCTCCCTCACCAGGAGCTACTCATACACCTGAGGAACTCTCTGACTGACAGCTCCTTCACCAGGAGCTACTCACACACCTAAGGAACTCTTTGACTGACAGCTCCCTCACCAGGAGCTACTCACACACCTGAGGAACTCTCTGACTGACAGCTCCCTCATAGCTAGCTACTCACACTACTGAGGCATCACTGGAATTTCCAAGGCAGCTGGGAACTCCAGGGATCCCCTTCTTCAAATAAGTAAATAATTAATTAAGATAAACACCTGGATCAGGAGCAGGGAAGGCCTGGGAGGAGGGGCCAAAGGCAGTGCTTTGGTGCCCTTACCAGAGGCTTGACAGCCAGGGCTGGACTGTGGAACACCGCACAAGGGGCAGAGACAGCCAGCAACATGGAGACAGAGCAGTGCAGCAGGCAAGGGCAGGGAGGGTGTGAGCAGTACTCAGGACACTGCCTTGGGATAGAGGAAGGAGCACACTCTAAGCCTAATCCTGTGTTTGGAGTAAAAACCCCTCCACAGCACTAGGGTGGTTATGGGTTGGGAATGCTGCAGTCCCTTTTTCTGTGGAAACATTCTGCAAACAGAGGATGCAAGATTCTCAAAGTCCAATGGCAAACAAACATTGTGGTCTGAGAAGCAAGGCACTATGGGACGACAACAGCTCACAGCCCAGAGGGTTAACTTCTAAGTATAAGAAGGGGTAAAAGATTGCTTGAAATAAAAATCCTAGAAGGGAAGTTAGACAAATATTCAATCCAGAGAGTTAGCTAGCTCGAATGTGCAGCTAGCACGTAAGGCAGGAATAAGATTTGGTAGGTGAACAGTGGCATGGGCCTAAGCAGAAATTCGAAAGAGAAACAGAAAAGGCAATAAACAATCATTTTTTCTCAGAATTAAAAACCATAAATCAATATCGGAAACCCAAAGCTTCTCTCAAGCACAATGGCAGGAACTCGTGGTTAAACACACTGTAATTAAGTCTTAGGACCCCAGGGGCAAGGAAGGATGCTGAAGCCCAGGCAAAGGAGAATGGAGAGCACAGCCAGCCTGCATGCGCTGTGTGAAGAACCAGGGTAGAATAAAGATGTGCATTGCCAGTCGGGAACTAAGTGGGCACAGAAGCAAGATGCCTAATCTGATGGAGTTGACAAAAGATCTCAGGGAGACCGCCTGAGATGCAAACACAGGTCAATCAAAATGACAAGCCTGTACAAGAATTTCAAATATGGATTCTTCTAAGAAACAAGGGGACTGTCAAACTATGGAGGAGAGAAAGAAGACGGTGGGGTGGCAGACATGGCCCAATGGTAAGAGCACATGCTACGTTTACAAAAGACTAAGTTCAGTTCCCAGCATTCATGCCAGGTGGCTCACAACCACCTGGAATTCTAGCTCCAGGGGATCCAACGACCTCTCTGGGCTCCAAGGGTGTGTGGTGTGTGTGTGTGTGCTTGTGTCTGTGTGTGTGTACATATGCTATTTGGGAGGGGAAGGCACCTATATTTTTCAGCGCTTCCTGTGACTGAGAAAGCATGCAAGGTGGAGGCTTTGGAGCTACCCTGCCTACTACAGATTTACAGGTACTTCAATGGGTGGATAAATGTTTACTAAAGGGAAATCAGTTCAATTCAGAAAAAAAAAATCTAAGGAAGAAGACACACAGACAAAGCGAATTCAGTAACCATAACTGGAAAAGTGAACTCAAATTCATTGTCAAAACTTATAGAGCCGGTTGTTTCTGAGGACTGAGGAGCCTTCAGAGCTGGGGTTCAGCTCGTGCTAGGTCAAATACTTGAAGGTTGTAGCCAGACCCCTAGTTCTAGGTGTCATCGGCCACAGATCTAAAGCAACGTGTTTAGCCAATGCCACGTGTTCCACCATGCCCTTCCCACCAGAGTGGACTAGAAGGTCTCAACCCTTGACCAAAACAAACCTTTCTTCCTTTAAGTTGTTTCTATCAGCTATTTGGCCACTGTGACTCAAGTGATCTGCCTATGTATCTATCATCTGAATATCTATCCATCACCTATCTATCAATATATCTGTCTACCTATCCATCACCTATCAATCAATCTATCTATCTATCTATCTATCTATCCATCACCTATCTATCAATATATCTGTCTACCTATCCATCACCTATCAATCTATCTATCTATCTATCTATCATCTATTTATGTATCTATCATCTATCTATCTATCCATGACCTATCTATCTATCTATCTATCCATCACCTACCTATCTATAATCATCTCTTTGTATCTATAACGTATCTATCAATCACCTATTAATCATCTATTCATCTATCAATCACCAATCTATATATCAACTATCGCCTATCTACATATCATCCTAATTAATCTGTCTACCTATCATCTGTAATTTATATATCTATCTTCTATTATCTCTCTATAATTTATTTATCACCTATCTCTCTTCCATCTATATATGTACAGGAGAATACCATTCAGACATTGAAGACCAACATTTTGTCATTTGTAGAAACATGGACAGAATTCTGGGCGGTCGTGGCACACGCCTTTAATCCCAGCACTCAGCAGGCAGAGGCAGGCGGATCTCTGTGAGTTTGAGGCCAGACTGATCTACAGAGTTAGTTTGAGGACAGGATCCAAAGCTACAGAGGAACTCTGTCTCAAAAAACCAAAAAAAAAAAAGAAAATAAAAAGAAACATGGATAGAAGAGTAAGTCATATACACAAAGACAAATAACCTGTGTTGTGTTCTCATTTGTGTGGAAGATAGAGTTGATCTCAAAGAAATAAGTAGTGGCTTCCCAGAGCCTTGACAAGCCAGGGGCAGGGGTGGGGAGATGATAGTTAATAGGGAGGGGTGTAGCTGGATCGGGGAATAATATCATCTGATGCTCTGTAGCACAGCAGAGTAACTATGGTGGACAACAATCAATAGACTAAGTAGTCAATAGCACTTTGAATATTCCCACGGCTAAGAAATAATGTTGAGCCCAGGACACGGAACTCAGACGTTCCTCATCCCCCCTATACTTCCTGGTCTTCCTACAGAGCCTATACTCCCTGCATACTGCCTCTCTCTTCCTATCCCACCCAGCATGCATCCAGACACCTCCCCTCTTCTGCCTCCCTCCCCTCTTCGGGCACATAACATCACCTAGCTCAGCCTGTCTGGGCGCTGGAACCGAATCTTGAGGGCAACCCAGGGGGCAGGATTTCCTTTGTTTCAATAGCCTGCCTGCAGCAAGTAAGGTAGGCGCTTTGTTTATGAGCTACCCAACCAGCACGGAGATCTGATCTCGGCACCAGGAAAGCCATCACTGGAGCACCTGGAAAGACATCACTGGGGAGTGCCATCACTGGGAAGGTACATCAGTGGGCAAGGAGACCTGATCCTGTAAAAGAAGATCCATAACGGAGCATTCGGAGGAAGAGATATGCAAGCGCCAATGCAAAAATTCATCCAACAATCTGAAAAAACAATATGACACCACCAGAACACAGAGACCTCACAACAGGAGGACATGAACACCTTAATCAAGAAGAAGTAGAAAAAAACGACTTTATGAAAGTGATTGACGCCCTTAAACAGCATGTAAAAAATGCCCTTATAGAAATGGATGAGAAGTATAACAGAAAGTTTGAAGAATTGAATAAATCAGTGAATGATACCCTAGGAAACCAAGGAAAAACAATCAAACAGATAATGGAAACAGTTCAAGACTTGAAAACTGAAATGGAAGCAAGGAAGAAAACACAAACAGAGGGCCGGCTGGACATGGGAAATCTAGGTAAATGAATAGAGACTACAGAAACAAGCATAACCAACAGAATACAAGAGATAGAAGAAAGAATTTCAGATCCTGAAGACACCAGAGAGAAAATAAATGCACTGATCAAAGAAAACAGCAAGTCTAACAAACTCTCATCACAAAACATTCAGGAAATCTGGGACACAATAAAAAGACCAAACCTAAGAATAATAGGAGTAGAAGAAGGAGAAGTACAGCTCAACGGTCCAGAAAATATATTTAATAAAATTATAGAAGAAAACTTTCCCAACCTAAAGAAAGATATACCTTTGAAGGTTCAAGAAGCATACAGAACACCAAATAGGCTGGTTCAAAAAAAAAAATTCCCTCACCATATAATAATCAAAACACAAAGCATACAGAATAAAGAAAGAATATTAAGAGCTGCAAAGGAAAAAGGCCAAGTTACTTATGAAGGTAAACCTATCAGACTTACACCTGACTTCTCCATGGAAACCATGAAAGCCAGAAGGTCCTGGATAGATGTACTGCAGAAACTAAGAGACCATGGATACAAACCCAGACTACTATATCCAGCCAAGCTTTCGTTCACTATAAATGGAGAAAATAAAATTTTCCAGGATAAAAACAAATTTAAACAATACGTAGCCACAAATCCAGCCTTACAGAAAGTAATAGAAGGAAAATCACTAACCAAGGAGTCCAACAATGACCACAATAACTCAGACATCTAGAGACCCTTCACCAGTACAACTCAAAAAAGGGAAACACACAAACTCTACTACTAAAAAAGTGACCAGAGTTAACAACCACTGGTCAATAATATCACTTAATGTCAATGGACTCAACTCACCTATAAAAAAGCACA